CCCCCCACCACAAATCGCCTTTGATCACCTTAACATATTCTGAACGATGACTTGATCCCGGGCATGTCTTGGGACAGCCAATCTATCCCACATATCGGAGACGTCCGTTTTGTTCCCACTGGACATCCGCCATTACGACTGGCTGAGATATCGCGCAGTTGGAAGGACGCAATATGCATTTGCAAGCGGAATGGAATTTATGCAAATATCTCTTGTCGGACGCTTCAGAACCCCTTGTTCGAATCTGACGTAAAAACAGACAGCGTCATCACGATAAATACTTCTCATAAAAGCCCGGGTTAAAAGCCTGTTTCCGAATAATTATCGAGGCATATCTCTAAGAATGGACTCCGCACTCAAGGGTTAGGGCGAAAAAAATATGCCACGGGGAAAAACCGGCGAAAAAATACAAGAAAAACGGGGAAAAGAAGAGAAGATGAATTAGAAAGGAAAAAAAAAAGCCGCCAAAATGTTGCCTGATGATGAAGAACGCATACTTTGCAAATTTGGGGTTCTTTCTGTTGTGTGTATAATTTGTATCCTTACTCGTCTATTTTGTTTCTTTTCTTTTTTTCTTTTCATTTCTTTATTTCTTTCTCTTCTCTTTCCTTCATTCCTTTTCCATGTCTGTATCCTTCCTTGACCTTGTCGAATTTGTCTTTTTCTTTTTTTTTCTTTTTGTATTTCTTTTTCCTTTCTTTCCTTCACTAGATCTAGATCTAGAGGTGGCCTGGTGTGCGAATGACCGAAGAGTGACTCTTGACTACTTGCCTGTGAATTGGCGGAACACACTAGGCCCTAGGCCTATCATGCAACTTGATTCATATATGGTGACTGGATCTAGTCGATTCCAGGGGGCGGCCATTTTGGCAAAATGCTAACGAAAGGCTCATGCTCTTTTACAATGTGGAAATTCCTCAATCTCAAACATCATTTTCACAAGTAAAAATTATTTTTTTAAAAATCTTGGTTATTTATCTAGCCAAGAATAAGCTATTTTGTTAAAAAGTATTTGTATATAAGTATTTGTATATTATAAAGAATAATAGAAATGAAACCTCATCACATTGTGTTTGTTAACACAGGCGCCTATACTTATACAGCTGCCGAGGCCTACATAAAAAATAATTGAATTTCATTGGGAAATCAAAGTAAATCAAAGCGATACACATGTAGAATGCATGTCACAGGGAAAGGCTAACTGGGGTAAGCTGTTAAATCTATGGATTTTGGAATGCCCTAGGTTATAATTATTATTTGTACATCAAAGAATGAACAACAATAAAAAGAACAATAATACTAGACTCTATGACTATGACTATGAGACCCCTTCTGTAAAGTACGCCTAATATTAATTAGAGAAAAGCATAAAATTGAGAGGAAGAAAAACTTAACAATTTCTTTTCTGAGTGGTCACTAGATCTATAATTAACTATAACTTTGTTGTCTATACTGTACAAGTGAATGTGATGCCTGTGTGTCTGTTGTTGATGTTATAGTTCTATGCCACTCTTAATATCATTATGTTGATTAAATTATCACATTATTCTTCACAAATAGTATTATTCTATGACTTGAAAGATACTGTTTTTGCAGCTTTTGTAGCTCATGTTTTGAGCCACAATTAAGTTGCTGCTAGGATGGCATTTCTCTGTCAAGTAGATGGAAATGTGGTTCTGCCTGAGCACATATGGCCACATTCCTTTTCTTGGCAGGTTTGACAGTTTCTTCAATGCTTTACTACAATACAAACATTTCATCTGCAATTTACAAGCATTGTATGAAACTCAAACCAACTTCATCCCACATTCAAATACAAATAATTCAAGCCCTTTTGATTCTGGTAAAGGAAACTGAAAGGGTGATGTTTAGTATTATTCAGCAACATGCTAAATCAGGACTGTGTTGAAAACCTTTCCATAGCCATCAAAGGAAAAAGCAGCCACATACACCAGTGGGTACTTGCTTAGGAAAGTGTCTCCAGTCATAATTATGTGACAAGTGTAAGACTTTGAGAAAAAGGAAGACCTA